GTAATCATAATGATCGCTTCTTACTGAGATGTGCTGTGTTTTCCATTCATACCAATAGCATGGGGGCGCTATTATGTCCAATAAAAGTCCATATATGGATCATGAAGAAGACCCATAGTCATGTGACATTCCAGGACGTCACTGAGTGATACAGAAAGTACAGAGATCGCTGTAACATGCAGATAAAGATGTTTTGAAGACAATAAACATGATTGCAATGATATTTGAGTTACCTGTGTTCTTCAAGCCATGCCAGGTATTTCATAATAATAGATTATATTTATAATGTAATGCTAATCGATACAGATTTCATCATCGTTCAGAACACTAAATAATACATTTTCTGTCTGATTTTTTTTTATCTGAAGCCAAGTTAGATCACAGAAGATTATTTAAAACACTAGACTTGCGTTATATAGTGAGTTTGGAGCGCAAACATAGTTTTAATCTCATAAATGGTCGTGTATTGATGGTGTGCTAAGCTAACATGCTAGCGAGCCCAGGCGCACCTGCCACGAGCAGTTATTGTTTTATGATTTTTTTCTAAATTGGAATGCTTACTGAAATGTTTCAGTGCATTTGATACCAGTTTCAAATATTTAGTGAGAACTTTGATAAAAGAAATTAGGGTTTGAAACCCTATGAATAGCTTGTGAATAGCCAGTCGTTAGTAGCTATAATGCAGACAAAAGAAATGCATATTTAGAGCCATAATAACCAGTCTGGAGAGGTGTAAATGTGTGCAGGGGAGACTGAGACTGAATGGGGCACCACAAAACAATAGAGACAATAGACTGAATAGATGACTCAGAAGATGACTAAACATCAGTTTGCTAATAGAGTCTAATCAAAATAAAGTAATTTGACATGATCTTGAAAAACATTTAACTAAATACAGAGCTTTATACTTATCATTTTCAGATTTTAAATATAAAATGGTCAGACATGTGGCTTTAGCTGCAGTGCATTTCTAGATTGCTCCAGGGCCAACTTCAATTTTATTTTCATGAAGATGTTTCATAAAAATAAATTTCTAATAACTTTACAAAACTTTGAAGCTATTTAAAATTGTTTTTTTTCATTATGACAATAATTAATTCTACATTTACAATAAACAACCAGGTGTCAGCTTTCAAATGAGATCATACTTGTGCTTTTAGTGCAAAGGATTCATGAACTGTATCTGTTTCAGTTTGTGTATGTCATTTCTGGGGATTTTTCAAAAGTGGGCTTGAAGCTTAACAGGTTAACCAACGATCACAAACCGTCCGTATTGGCAGCTATCAGTCTGAACCTCTTCACTTGTCCACTGGAGTGCCCCAAGGGTCAATCCTGGGCCCTCTTCTGTTCTGCATATATATTAATGACCTACCACGTGTGTGCCCAGAAGTAAATATTCAAATGTATGCAGACGACACAGTTCTATACATATATGGGCCATCAAAAACAGTAGTGGCAACTAAACTTACAAACGCTATGCTAAAGATCAGTGAATGGCTAAACCAGTGTAGCCTTCAGTTAAATGTCTCCAAGACAGTTGGTATGTTTTTTACTAAAACTACCAACTCCACAGCAAATCTGTGTAAATATCTGGTGAAAAACTTGTCAACCCGAGCAGCCAAAATGTTTATGCATTCACTGATCTTTTCGCATATGACTTACTGCCTTACCAGCTGGTCCCAGGCCAACCACACCACTTTGAACCCAATACAGTCCCTATACAAACAAACACTTAAAGTTCTGGATAAGAAACCACGTCATTTTCATCACTGTGATATTCCGTCAAAATACAATTTATTAAGTTGGGAAAATCTTATTAAGTACACAAATATTTGTTTAGCATATAAAATCCTTCATGGCCTGGCCCCTCCACCTCTTAGTGAGTTTCTGAGTTTAAGGTCCAACACCAGTCGCCTCACTAGAGGAACATCCAGAGGGGACTGTGTTATTCCATTCAGGAAAACGAATCGGTTACCTAACGTAACCTCGGTTCTCTCTAGATGAGGGAACGAGTATTGCGTAAGCTAGCTTACGCTGCGGGAAAGATTCATCTTTGCTGAGAATTTGAAGCCAAAAAATTATTTCATAATTTGTATCCATTGACAACGCAGTTCCTCTGCGGCAGACCTTGAGCAGGCTAGCTAGCGGCTCATTGGTTCGCTCAGAGAGAACTGCTTAAGCCTATGGGAGAGCGGGGCTGAACCCGCTGCCAATGAGAAGCGCTCGCGCGCTCATTGCGTCATGGCCCGCCAGAATGGGCGTGGCTATGGTGTATATAACAGTCTCTCCCAGGCTTATATGTTGATTTATTTCAGCGTGAAGCGAAACGCTAGTAGCGCAAGCACGGCCGGGAACGCAATACTCGTTCCCTCATCTAGAGAGAACCGAGGTTACGTTAGGTAACCGATTCGTTCTCTTACGAGAGGTTCTCTCGTATTGCGTAAGCTAGCTTACGCTGCTAGCTTACGCTCCGTGCGCGCTATGAATCCACTCATGAATCCCGGGGAGATACCGGGGGATTCTTAACGTGGAGTGAATGTAATATGAGGCCGGCAGAGCGGGCACATGAAGTGTATACATAAGCATCTAAGGGGAGCACAAGGGGCGAACCGGTTGTGTGAGGGACTCCCAGTAATGCAGCTTCTTAGGGAGCTGATCGTTAGACGGCTAGTACTTTTGCCTGCAAGGCGGGAACTTCCAAGTTGTAAAATCTGACAAAGGTGGACGGGGAGGCCCATCCCGCAGCCACACAAATGTCATGAATGGAAATTCCACAGGACCATGCCCACGATGAGGCCATGCCTCTAGTGGAGTGAGCCCTGAAGCCCAGAGGGCAGGGCAGGCATTTAGATGCGTAAGCAGAGGCAATCGCGTCCACTATCCATCTAGACAGCGTCTGTTTTGAGGCGGCCAGACCCTTGGTGCGCCCCCCAAACGACACGAAAAGCTGCTCAGCGCGTCTGAACGCGGCAGCGCGCGTAGTGTACAATCTCAGGGCCCGCACCGGGCAGAGGAGATTGGCGTCGCGCTCACTATCGGATGAAGGTAGAGCCGATAGGGAAATAATCTGAGCCCTGAACGGGGTACCAATCGCCTTCGGGACATAGCCATGCCTAGGTTTGAGAATGACGACCGAATCATTCGGTCCAAACTCAAGACACGCGGCGCTGGATGAGAGCGCGTGAAGATCCCCCACGCGTTTTACTGAGGACAGAGCCGTCAGAAAAACGGTTTTGAGCGAGAGGTATTTTAGGTCCACAGACTCGAGCGGTTCGAACGGGGGTGCTTTCATAGCTTCGAGAACTATAGAAAGATCCCAGATAGGAACCGAAGGGGGGCGCGGAGGGTTCATCCTCTTAGCTCCCCTGAGGAAGCGGATGACTAACTCGTCTTTGCCCAGGGACTGAGCGCGTCGGGGTTCAGTGAACGCCGCGACGGCTGCCACGTAAACCTTGAGAGTGGAGGGGGACCTGCCCTTGTCCAGCATCTCTTGAAGGAAAACAAGCAAAGACGGCACCTCGCACGACCGTGGGTCCAGATTTTTGTCGGTGCACCATTTTGAGAACACAGACCATTTAGACGCATAGAGCCTTCTCGTGGAAGGTGCTCTAGCCTGTATGATAGTGTTTCTTACTCCCTCTGGCAAATCGACGAATAGTCGTTGAACACCCATGCATGGAGCGCCCAGCGCTGTGGATGGGGATGCCAGATCGTGCCGCGAGCTTGAGAGAGGAGATCTGCTCTGACTGGGATGGGCCACGGGGCTGTCTGTGACAGCTGAGTGAGCTCCGGAACCCAAGACTGACTCTCCCAGCACGGGGCTATGAGGAGCACCGAGTGGCGTGTGTCCCTGATCCTCTGAATTACCTGCGGTAGCAGAGCGATCGGAGGGAATGCATAGAGCGGGCGGCGAGGCCATTCCTGGGCTAGCGCGTCCTCGCTCCTTGAAAAAAATATTGGGCAGTGAGCGTTCTCCTCTGACGCGAAGAGGTCCACTTCTGCTCTGCCGAATAGCCGCCACAGTATTTGGACCGTTTGTGTGTTCAGGGACCATTCTCCTGTGGAGATGAGGTTCCTGGACAGTATGTCTGGACCGTCGTTCAGATGGCCCGGCACATGCGTCGCTCTGAGCGAGAGCAGGCGGCTCTGAGATCAAACTAGAATGCTGTGTGTCAGCAGGAAGACATTCCTGGATCTGACACCGCCCTGACGGTTGAGATAGGAGACCACAGCCATGTTGTCTGAACGGATCAGGACGTGGTGTCCCCGAATGAGCGGGAGGAAGCGCGAGAGCGCGTTCTCGACCGCAAGCATTTCCAGACAGTTTATGTGCAAGGGGCTTTCCTGAGTCGACCAATGGCCGAAGGCCGGTGAGCCCTCGCAGACCGCACCCCAACCCGTGTTGGATGCGTCTGTCGAGATGACCTTTCGGCGGGAAAAGGTCCCCATCGTGACGCCTCGCCGAAACCATTCTGCTACTGTCCATGGCTGCAGTGCCGTGAGACATGTCTGCGTAACCCTGATCAGCTGGCGGCCCGTGTTCCACGCGCGGTGGGGTACACGGCTTTTTAACCCTCATGTGGTGTTCGGGTCAATTTGACCCGGAGAAGATTTTCTTTTTCCCGAAAATACAAGTTAATGTTATCGCTTTGGACTGAAACTTAGTGACTTTGTTCCCAAACGGTATAACTAAATCTCTTTTTTTTTTGGAAAATTTTCTTCTTTTTTTTGTGGGGGTTTTGTTACCTTGTTACACTTGTGGTGTTCCCGGTCAAAAATGACCGGCCTATAAAAAATAGCTTATAAGTCACTCATTATACCATATTTTCACCCAATCTTGGATTCAATCTTTTTGTCAACTTGTTCTCTTTCAATTAGGACTGGTTTTATATTTCTGTTTGCATCTGATTAATCGTGGGCCTCATTTATCTGAGAGTAGGCATCTCATTTTTTGAGTAAAAAACAAATAATTTATGAGTATATTTGGAAATATGAAAAAAAAATATGAAAAAAATGGCTACTGTTGATCACACTAGTCTACTCTAATGTTTCACCAGGAATTTTGTTTTGAAACTTTTGTTTTGTAAAAAATATGGCACATAGTCACACTTGTGGTGTTCCCGGTCAAAAATGACCGGCCTATAAAAAATAGCTTATAAATCACTCATTATACCATATTTTCACCCAATCTTGGATTCAATCTTTTTGTCAACTTGTTCTCTTTCAATTAGGACTGGTTTCATATTTCTGTTTGCATCTGATTAATCGTGGGCCTCATTTATCTGAGAGTAGGCATGGTCAAAAATGGTCACAATGGCCGACCATTGAAAGTGAATGGGAGACACTGAAAATAACAGAACAATTTAGTTTTCAGGAGCATGTTCATTATTTTCATGTACACATATGAGCATGTGTGCTTGCAAACATCGAGCCCTTGGACCTGTGCATGTATCGATACATTTATACACACGCTACCCAGACACACACACACGTTAAAACACACAAACTTTTTTGAGTATTACACACATTCTTTTCCACAGAGAGAAATTTGATCCTACCCTAACCTGCATCTAATATACATTTATCCATCTGACATTACCACACACACACACACACAAACTGGCCGTGACTGCAGTGACCCGGCTTCAAAAGAATCTTTCTTTCATGTTCTTGTTTCATCACAGCTTCCAGACAAAATATTATGACATTTTGTTTTGGAACTGTGAGGTTCTCACACAGAACTAGACAATATTTACAAATATACATCATGTGATAGCACAGGCATATATAAATGCCTCACAGCACCTTGCTTGTCATTCATTTGTGGCAGCACAATGGCAAAGCAGCTCTCTGCACATGATGTTATTCATCAGATTTTTGACTCAGAAACTAGTGAGGAGGAAATGCAGGATGCATCTTGCAGTGAAGATGTTTCTGAAGAGGGAGGCACCACTGAATCGGCTACAGAGCTTGAAACAACTGATGAGGAGCAGTCTTCCAGTGATGAGGGCCCAGCTGAGGTTACCGTTTCATTCTGGTCAAAAGATGGAACTTTGTCCTGGTCTTCATCCCCACCTATGAGGCAAGGCAGGTTTTCTTCTGAAAATGTCATGAAGATGAAGCCAGGGCTAACAAGATATGCCATATCCCGAATTGATGACATACAATCATGCTTCAACTTGTTTGTGACGGAGCCAATCGAAAACATAGTCATATCCATGACTAATTTAGAGGGGAGAAGAGTCTTCAAAGACAAGTGGAAGACGGTTGATTCAACAGACATCCAGGCATATATGGGTCTCTTGATTATGGCTGGGGTCTACAGATCCCGAAATGAATCTACCGACAGTTTATGGGATGCAGACACAGGTCGGGCAATTTTCCGCGCCACAATGTCACAACAGACATCTCACGTGTTGTCACGAGTAATTCGATTTGACAACAGAGAGACAAGACATCAACGCCATCAAAATGACAAGCTTGCTCCAATTCGAGAGCTCTGGGACAAGTGGGTGGAGAGGCTGCCACTCATCTACAACCCAGGTCCAGCAGTTACAGTGGATGAGCGCTTAGTTGCTTTCAGGGGGAGGTGCAGATTCAAACAATATATCCCCAACAAACCTGCCAAATACGGGATAAAGCTTTGGACAGCATGTGACTCCAAAACCAGCTACGCATGGAATATGCAGGTCTATACAGGAAAATCGTCAAGTGGTGTTCCAGAAAAGAACCAGGGCCAGAGAGTTGTCCTTGAAATGACAGAAGGTCTACAAGGACATACAGTGGTATGTGATAATTTTTACACTTCCTATAATCTCGGCAAAGAGCTACTGAGAAAAAAAAACACCATGGTGGGGACAATCAGAAGGAACAAGACTGAGCTTCCTCCTGCACTAGTGACCAACATGAACAGGGATCTTTTTTCCACCAAGTTCGCCTTCACCGACACACATGCACTTGTGTCATACTGCCCGAAGAAAAGGAAAAATGTCCTACTGATGTCAACTCTGCACAAAGATGCCTGTGTGAGTACCAGGGAGGACAGGAAACCAGAAGCCATCCTGTACTACAACGAAAACAAAGGGGGAGTTGATAACCTTGATAAGGTATGCTATTTTTTATTTTTTTTTATTACCTAATTGTTTTATATTGTAATATTACAATTCTCTAATACGGTAATATTATAATTATTGTTTTGTGTGTGTGTGTGTGTTTTTAAGGTTACTGGCACATACTCCTGCAAGAGAAAAACACTACGATGGCCCATGGTGTTGTTTTTTAACATCCTCGATGTCTCAGCCTACAATGCGTTTGTAGCATGGATGGAGGTGAATCCAGGGTGGAAAGAGGGGAAAACCTTCAGGAGGAGGCTGTTCCTAGAAGAGCTGGGGAAATCCATGGTGACCCCCCTGATACAGAGGCGCCAAAATATACCCAGAGCACTGCCCTCTGCTACATTGGTGAGAGACATACAAACACCAGAACCAGGTCCTTCAGTTGGCACAGGCAGAGGAGAGAAACGAAAGAGATGCACTTTGTGTGCCCCAAAAGATGTGAAAACAGGCACTGTCTGTTTCAAATGCAGAGCGCACATTTGCAAGGCACATACATTATACTGTTGTCAGTCATGTGCATAAGTGGCACAAAATGACCAATTGCAAGTTACCTTAAAAATGCTTTTGTTAGTCACTTGGATGAGTTCACACAGAGACCGTCACAGTTTCTTATTTTGGTTAGTTCATCATTTGGAAAACTGAAAGAAAATGAACAGTGTTTTATTTGTGTTCTCTATATGACAGCGTTAATGTGTTCTTTTTTGTATGTCACAATGGTCAGATTTGTCAGGGAACAGCACAAGTGTTACTGTGCACCCCTTTTCTGAAAATTAAAGCATTTCAAAATACAAGCCCTGTGTTTTGTAATCTTCTACATTCACTTTCAATGGCCGGCCATTTTTGACCGGGAACACCACAAGTGTGACTATGTGCCATATTTTTTACAAAACAAAAGTTTCAAAACAAAATTCCTGGTGAAACATTAGAGTAGACTAGTGTGATCAACAGTAGCCATTTTTTTCATTTTTTTTTTTCATATTTCCAAATTTACTCATAAATTATTTGTTTTTTACTCAAAAAATGAGATGCCTACTCTCAGATAAATGAGGCCCACGATTAATCAGATGCAAACAGAAATATAAAACCAGTCCTAATTGAAAGTGAACAAGTTGACAAAAAGATTGAATCCAAGATTGGGTGAAAACATGGTATAATGAGTGATTTATAAGCTATTTTTTATAGGCCGGTCATTTTTGACCGGGAACACCACAAGTGTGACTATGTGCCATATTTTTTACAAAACAAAAGTTTCAAAACAAAATTCCTGGTGAAACATTAGAGTAGACTAGTGTGATCAACAGTAGCCATTTTTTTCATTTTTTTTTTCATATTTCCAAATTTACTCATAAATTATTTGTTTTTTACTCAAAAAATGAGATGCCTACTCTCAGATAAATGAGGCCCACGATTAATCAGATGCAAACAGAAATATAAAACCAGTCCTAATTGAAAAAGAACAAGTTCACAAAAAGATTGAATCCAAGATTGGGTGAAAATATGGTATAATGAGTGACTTATAAGCTATTTTTTATAGGCCGGTCATTTTTGACCGGGAACACCACAAGTGTGACTATGTGCCATATTTTTTACAAAACAAAAGTTTCAAAACAAAATTCCTGATGAAAATTTTAAGTTGAGTAGTGTGATCAACGATACCAATTTTCTTCAGATTTTATTTAATATTTCAAAAATTATTCAAAAATTTTAAAAAATTTACTCAAAAAATGAAATGCCTACTCTCAAATAAATGAGGCCTATGATTATTCAGATGCAAATCAAAATATAAAACCAGTCCTAATTGAAAGAGAACATGTTGACAAAAAGATTGAATCCAAGATTGGGTGAAAATATGGTATAATGAGTGATTTATAAGGTTTTTTTTATGGCCCGGTCATTTTTGACCGGGAACACCACAGGTGTTATAGGGTTTTGAACACCACATGAGGGTTAACCAGAGCTGAAGCGGGCGCATGTGCAGAAGGCCCAGCTGAAGCACAGCGGAGGCTGAGGCCATGTAACCCAGCATCCTCTGAAAAGTTTTCAGAGGTGTGCGGGTGCCCATCTGAAAAGAGGCGGCTAGTCGCTGAACACTGCGCGCGCGCTGTGTAGACAGGCGAGCCGTCATTGTGACCGAGTTCAAATCTATTCCTAGGAAGGAAATCGATTGACTGGGTTGAAGGGAGCTCTTTGTCCAGTTGACAGAGAGGCCCAGCGTTTTCAGATGGTCGAGGAGAACTGCGCGGTGCGACAGAAGCTCTGTCCGTGATTGAGCCAAAATCAGCCAGTCGTCCAGATAATTCAATATGCGCAGCCCCTGGCTCCGCAGGGGGGCGAGCGCCGTATCCATACACTTCGTGAAGGTACGGGGCGCCAGGGATAAGCCGAACGGGAGAACGGCGTATTGATAAACATGACCCTCGAAGGCGAAACGTAAGAATGGCCTGTGACGGGGATTTATCTGGATCTGAAAATAGGCGTCTTTCAGGTCTAGAGAGATGAACCAGTCCCCCTGGCGCACCTGCGCGAGGAGTTTCCTGATAGTGAGCATCTTGAACGGTCTCTTCATGAGCACTTTGTTCAAAAACCTGAGATCTAAAATCGGTCTGAGGCCGCCGTCTTTCTTGGGAACCAGAAAATAACGGCCGTAAAACCCCGACTCGGTCATAGATGGCGGGACTCTCTCTATAGCGCCCTTTTGCAACAGCGTCGCAATTTCTGAGCGGAGCGTGTTGGCGGCCAGCGGGCTGACAGTAGATTCGAGCCGAGCGCGCGAACGAGGCGGGCGGCGGCGAAACTGTAGCAGATAGCCGTTCTTTATAATGCTTAGCACCCACGGGGAAATGCCTGGAATGGCTTCCCACGCTTTGGAGCATGCGGCTAGTGGCCGAATGGCTATATCGCCCTGATTGCTGCACATAGCGGGCTGGACACAGTGTGTGGGCGTGCTTTGAATGTGTGTGGCAACGGGACTTACACTCAGAGAGGAGTCTATGGGCCGTGAAACAGAGCGAGCAGAGAGGGGACACGCGCATGAGCTCGTGGGCGTGTTTATGTTCTCTGATACTAGAGCGGGCTGTGCCCGCTTCATGTGGGGGGGCTCTGAGAGAGACACGGGATATGTTATGCTTGTGTGTATGGGTGAACACATGATTGTGGGCACATTTTCTACACAACTGGCATATTTTCTCTTTTTGAGATTTCTCTGGGTAGCCGTAAAAACGGCTTTTTGTCGCTCGCAAGCGGGCTGGGACACCGGCTTGTTTGTGGCGGTAAACACTACAGCAGTCGGCGAAACAACGGGGACTGGCAGAGGGTGAAGCTTTGACGGCGGTCCGGCCGCAGCGGGAGAGCGCCGTCGTTTTCTTAACTGTGCTAGGCAGACTTCTGATGATCAGGCTTCAGCGTGATCTTGGGTCGCGGACCCCGTGGGGGCGGCGGTCTGCGGCGGCTGTCAGAGCGAGAGCGAGGGCGGCCGCCCTGTCTGCGCTGGGCTGTTTGAGTCTGCGGAGGAGGGCGCTGTGGTGGGGCTCTGGCAGGAGGCTCGCGAGAGCGGCCTGCGGAAGAGCTAGCGCGGCGGGGCAGAAACAAATTCATGGCCTGAGTGGCTTTCTGGACCTCGGAAAAGCGATCGACGATCCCCGTGACAGCAGATCCAAAAAGGCCCGTCGGGGAGAGGGGCACGTTAAGAAACGCGGCGCGCTCAGAATCTCCCATGTCGGCGAGCGTGAGCCATAAGTGTCTCTCGGATACACAAAGGCTGGCCATGCATCTCCCCAGAGCTTGTGAGGCGGCTTTAGTGGCGCGAAGGGCGAGGTCCGTAGCACTTCTCAGATCCGTGACAGCGGAGGGGGGGGTTCCACCGCTCTCGGCCCACTCACGGAGAATATCGCTCTGTAGCACTTGGAGGACAGACATAGAATGCAGCGCCGCAGCGGCCTGACCGGCGGCGGCATAGGCGCGAGCATGAAAGCTCGAGGTCGCTCTGCAAGCTTTCGAAGGAAGCGTGGGGGAAGAGCACCATCTAGCAGAGGGCGGGCAGAGGTGGGCGGCGACCAAGTCCTCAACGGGCGGCATGGCTGAATAACCTTTTTCGGCGGCTCCGTCCACCGAGCGCAGCGAGGCGGAGATATCGGAGCGGTTTCTGGCCGAGAGTGGGGCATTCCAGGACTTCGTCAGCTCTGTGTGAAGTTCAGGCAGGAATGGGGCGGCCCGGTTGCACGCGGGGGTCGAGCGCCGATGAAAAAAGCTGCCGTCCATCCGGTTCGGGGCCTGCTCGGGTGGAGGAGACCACTCGAGACCGAGGCGGTCGACGGCCTGTGAGAGGAGGCGCATTAGTTCCTCCTCTATCCCGGCGCGGATCCCCGCCGACTCTCTCGTGGATCCGAGAGATGACCATTCCTCACTGTCTGACGCGAGCAGTGAACAGGAATCCTTCTCCTCCGCGGCGTCATCGGAAGCGACAGAGCGGCCACTCGGCGGCAACTGTATGTCCGGCTGGGGCGGGGAGGGAGAGCGGGAAGCGGGAGGCGGCGGCGGCGGCCCGCATGGTTCCGCAGGGGGCTCCGGCGGCCTCTGGGCGCGGCGTTTCTTCTTCCGCGGCGAAGAGAGAGGCGGCGCGGGAGCGGATTTAGCCGCCAGAAGTCGTGACCGCAGGGACGACAACGGCAGGCTCTCACAGAAGTCGCATCCTCCATCAGCGAGGGCGAGTTCCGCGTGCTTGAGTCCCAGGCAGAGAGCGCAAATGACATGGCGGTCTCCGTCCTCGAGAGGAGCGCGGCAAGAGCCGCAGGCGAAGCGAGGCATCTTTAAAAAGACGCTCGCGCTCTTTTAGATAATGAGAGAAGGATACAGTCGTCGGATGGCGCTAGCTTGCAGGGCGGCTGAAGGTGGCGAAGACGGCCGGCTTCTTCAGGGTCCGGGAGCTCGCTAGAGTGATGCCTTCTCGACGGCGACAGCTTTTCTCAAGTCAGCAGAAGCGTGTAGCTCGCTGAAGATGAAATGAATCAACATATAAGCCTGGGAGAGACTGTTATATACACCATAGCCACGCCCATTCTGGCGGGCCATGACGCAATGAGCGCGCGGGCGCTTCTCATTGGCAGCGGGTTCAGCCCCGCTCTCCCATAGGCTTAAGCAGTTCTCTCTGAGCGAACCAATGAGCCGCTGGCTAGCCTGCTCAAGGTCTGCCGCAGAAGAACTGCGTTGTCAATGGATACAAATTATGAAATAATTTTTTGGCTTCAAATTCTCAGCAAAGATGAATCTTTCCCGCAGCGTAAGCTAGCTTACGCAATACGAGAGAACCTCTCGTAAGAGAACTGCATCAGCCTTCTCTATTGAAGCTTCAAAAGAATGGAACAACATCCCAACACCAATCAGAGAAATCAATAGTTATAATGTATTCCGCTCATCATTAAAACATTGGCTCCTTAGCAATCAAACATGCCAGCACTGAACTTCCACCGCCACCGCTTTCTTGAGTCATCTTGCATGTTCTTCTTATCTAATTTCGATACTGCTGCATTTTAATGTTTACTCTGCCTTTTAAGCTTTGTATTATAACTGACTAATGTTATTGACTATGTCCTTTAATATTGATACTGTATTGTACTGTATTCAATCAGATACTGTACTGTATCTGATTGGAGCTCT